CAACTATTTCGGGTATCATCAGGACGAAAACAAATTAGCAATTAATGCATTACGAAGGTTCCATTAAATGAGTCGACCAGAATGAAGGGCGGAAAATTTGGACTGCCATTGGTAAATTATGGTATGTTTGATAGAGGCAGATAATATTTTTGCTTTGCAACAGGCCATTTACGGAATCGTCAAAGAGCTGTCACAAAGGTTCCTTAACGACCAGAAAGAATGACACCTTCCTCGGTGTGTTGGATTTAACGTCCCCACTCCGACAGCAAGTTGCTGCGTATTTATACTACCCCCACACAGACAAGTGGAGTCGTACACCTCGAACGGAGAAAGTGAGATATTTTTATACCCCGGGACAGTATGAATTAAATAAAATGTTCTACAATGTATATACATTTGTAGATATTTTACGCTGTCTGAAGATTAAATAATAGTTTCAGGAAGAATACGTACTATTATAATGATACGGATGTATAGCCAATGTTATATTTGTACATAATGAGATAATCCGTATCTCAGGTACCAGTAGCATGTTGCATATATTCCCGGTAAACCTGTCACATTTTGTATTATATGACTTTCTTATTAGAATAAAATTTTGCGCAAACATACTTTTGATATACCTCTCAACGTGTCGTTTGCAATACCTAACATTCCGAAATTTTATTTCATATACTTTTTTGACGGTATTTTTGTCAGAGTCTTTAAGATATTTTTTGTCTGCATCCTTCAGACCTATATTTGCTAACTGGGACCATACAGATATATGAATTTATTAAAACAATTCATGTTTTGTTTACATAATTTTTTTCTAATAATGCTTGCTTAAGTGTCTGTGTTGACTAATGCAGTCGAAGCGTAGTGCTTTATTTCAAATCAAGCTTTTGTTTCATGCATCTAGCACATATAAACTGACCCAGTGAATCATTCATAGGCCTAATTTGAATTTTATGGCACTAATGATATCCATAAACAGTTGAATATATGCCTCAACATTTCTATATGTTAAATATATATATACATATCTGGGGTTTTGCTTTTTCTTTTGCGTTTATTTTTTTTTTCTATTCTATATTTTGTCATTACATATCATTAAGAATTAATAATAATCATTGTAATAAATTATTTGTAATTATACTAGACTCTTAGGGCGTCCTTGATTGACAATAAAAATATTGTATTGTATTGCATATTAAAAATGACTAAGTTGCACAATAAAATGTCCTTGAATCTATATTAACGCATACTCATACATGTATACGTGTAACTGAAAACTATTGTGTTTACTTCATTTGGTTGTAAGAATGGAAAGAACAGTTTTGTTATACAAATCATCGCCAGTTACATTGAAACTTCAAAATATTCTCGCATGACTCTTTCAATGTCGGTCATTTCATAAACTAGAAAACAGACATGTCAGAAATTGACCCGCGTTCACATTTTTGTTTGAAGCACAGAAACAAACAATTAAGACTGATGCAAACAAAGCAGTACATTTCATGTGGTATCAATTTCCGTAAACTTTGACACCAGGAAATATTCAAGGATACGTTTTACGTAAGTAGCAACTTTAGTTAAAAGTTCGAGCACAATAAATGATTTTATGTATTTGGTCAGCCATTTATAAAAACGGTGGCTGACGGATGATTTTTGAATCAGGGTTTTTGGAAAAGATATCATTTTATAGCAGTATATCAATTTTCATTGAAATTCTAACACAAACAGATGTTTCTTAAAATTTGTGTTTTTTTCACAAACTCTAAATTTTTACTGCAAATTTGACACCGGGAATCAAATTAGAATAGCATATTATACCTTTTTATTTGCTTTCATTGCAATCCTAGCATAAAAAGATGTTTTGCCAACATTTCCCAACACTAAATGGCCACATTTCACAAACAAAAAATAAGATGTACATCTACAAATTATGCATAAAAAATGTGGCAAGTTTATTGGGGTCCTACGCATATTTCTGTAGTGATTGCGCTTACAAAATTTATTTCTAAAACTTTATGATTTTTTAACAAAAATTAAGTTTTTTTCAAAACTAATTGGCCAACTTTCACATAAAACTGTATGCACATCAACGTATTATATTATCAGATTTGGGATTTCGGAAGTGAATTTTTGAGAGGTTCTATGACTAAGATAGCAACTCTGTCTAATATTGTTTTGTCTCTTCTGTTAGACCCTTTTGGTTTTCATGCATGCTTCATAACGTCTGTATATTTTGCTCTCCGAAATGTTATTTCAAGTGTACCTGGTAAAGATTTTTCTAGAATTATTTTTCTTTTTTCAAAATGAAATCGGTTCTTGGTATCCGAGGGTGGCGCTTTACGTAGTTACACAATTAAACGTCATTAAAAACATCAAAATCATTCATTTATATGGGTGTCAAGACCAGTTAAAAACGATTTTGAATGAAAATATTGAGTACGAATAATAATGTAAAATAATTTTTATTTTTGCATTCAATAGTTTTCGAACACTTTTTTGTTCATATTTTTCAAATGTTTATATTTCATAATTGGTTTAACAATCATAAAAACGCAGAGCTCTTATAACACTGATTTTTTTTAGCCTCTTTCGATTCTATAACAATCAAACATAGCAGAGCCTTAGAATTAAATATTTAATGAATTTTCATTGATAATGAATTCTTTAATAGACTATGGATCAACAGCGGTTATATATTATTAACTTGTAAACCAAGCAATGCAATTCAAATATTGCATACAAGACGTTTAGTAATATTGAAGTCTACAGTTTGTTTGCACAAGTGCTTGTTTTCATGTCTCAATGCACGAATAGAGGAAAGATTTTCAAGGAGAATATTAAGTCAAAACGTACCGACTAAAGGTCAAAAACATCTAATTTCTGGCAGAATTATTTTACAATACAATAAGTGAGAACATAGACCAGTGTGGATAGTAATTGTTAAATGTGTGTTAGTATGTTTGACTGTATGGATAGTAATTGTTAAATGTGTGTTAGTATGTTTGACAGTGTGGATAGTAATTGTTAAATGTGTGTTAGTATGTTTGACAGTGTGGATAGTAATTGTTAAATGTGTGTTAGTATGTTTGACTGTATGGATAGTAATTGTTAAATGTGTGTTAGTATGTTTGACAGTGTGGATAGTAATTGTTAAATGTGTGTTAGTATGTTTGACAGTGTGGATAGTAATTGTTAATGTGTGTTAGTATGTTTGACAGTGTGGATAGTATTTGTTTGACAGTATGGATAGTAATTGTTAAATGTGTATTGGTATGTTTGACAGTGTGGATAGTAATTGTTAAATGTGTGTTAGTATGTTTGACAGTGTGGATAGTAATTGTTCAATGTGTGTTAGTATGTTTGACAGTGTGGATAGTAATTGTTAAATGTATGTTAGTATGTTTGACAGTGTGGATAGTTATTGTTAAATGTGTGTTGGTATGTTTGACAGTGTGGATAGTCATTGTTAAATGTGCATGTGCTAGTATGTTTGACAGTGTGGATAGTAATTGTTTGACAGTGTGGGTAGTAATTGTTAAAAGTGTATTAGTATGTTTGACAGTGGGGGTAGTAGTTATTAAATGTGTGTGAGTATATTTGACAGTGTGGATAGTAATTGTTAAATATGTGTTAGTATGTTTGACAGTGTGGGTAGTAATTTTTTGAGAGTGTGGGTAGTAATTGTTCAATGTGTGTTAGTATGTTTGACAGTGGGGGTAGTAATTGTTAAATGTATGTTAGTATGTTTGACAGTGTGGATAGTAATTGTTAAATATGTGTTAGTATGTTTGACAGTGTGGATAGTAATTGTTAAATGAGTGTTAGTATGTTTGACAGTGTGGGTATTAATTGTTAAATGTGTGCTAGTATGTTTGACAGTGTGGATAATAATTGGTAAATGTGTGTTGGTATGTTGACAGTGTGGATAGTAATTGGTAAATGTGTGTTGGTATGTTTGACAGTGTGGATAGTAACTGGTAAATGTGTGTTGGTATGTTTGACACTGTGGATAGTAATTATTAAATGTGTGTTAGTATGTTTGACAGTATGGATAGTAATTGGTAAATGTGTGTTGGTATGTTTGACAGTGTAGATAGTAATTGGTAAATGTGTGTTGGTATGTTTGGCAGTGTGGATAGTAATTGTTAAATGTGTGTTAGTTTGTTTGACAGTGTGGATAGTAATTTTTAAATGTGTGCTAGTATGTTTGACCGTGTGGATAGTAATTGGTAAATGTGTGTTGCTATGTTTGACAGTGTGGATAGTAATTGGTAAATGTGTGTTGGTATGTTTGACAGTGTGGATAGTAATTGTTAAATGTGTGTTAGTATATTTGACAGTGTTATCTCCACTGAGTTATTGTATTAGTTGTACCCCCACCAGATGTCCATCTGATAATTTGTCGGTATTTTTAGATTTTTAGTGGCACTCTGTTGGATTAACTCAAAAATATAAAATTAAATAAGAAGATGTGGTATGATTGCCAATGAGACCAAATGACGTAGAAGTAAATGAATATATATAAGTCACCACACAGCCTTCAACAATATGCAAAACCCATACCGCATAGTAAGCTATAAAAGGCCCCGAAATGACATATGTAAAGCAATTCAATCGATAAAAAAGTAACGACCTGATTTATGTACAAAACAAAAAACGAAAAATAAATACGATATACAGCAACAAACGATTACCACTGAATTACTGGCTCCTGGCAGGCACATATAGAATGTGGCGGGGTTAAACATAGTTGCTGATGGCAAATTTTGATGTAAACCAAACAAGCAAATGATGCTTTCCAAACTGGTATCTTGCAATTTGAGATGATACATTTAGTCGATCAAACCGGTAGAGACTGCAGTAAATACATTTGAAGTATAAAAGGTAGATAATGTCACCTTTATAAAAATAAGGAAATGTGATATGATTTGCCTTTCTCGCTGATACCTGCCGAATTTATGATTTGATAAAGATTGCCTTCCTACATTGTATACTGTAAAAGTGCACTTGGAGTCTTATTCGGTAATTGTTTAAAGTGAAACAGGAAATATTTAGTTCCTTTACGTGTCTTTCAGCAGAATTTACATTTCTTGTACCATAGGTGGATGATTGAGTTAAAGTTAAAAGGGTAAGGAAGCTTTCTCTTTTTATTTTACTTTTTAGAAGGTGGTTACTAAAAAATTCAAAAAAGTTGCTATTTTAGTTATCTTTTAATATCTGTGAAACAAATCTGATATCAAATTTTAATGTGAAATGGCATCTAAAATTTTCAATTTGAAGAACATTTATTATCCTCAGAATTGATAACTCACATGACAATATGGTATCAATGGGAAAAAAGGGTATTTTTCGAAAGCAAAAAGTACACTTTCGATTCTATAGATTTGAACTCGGAATTCCCTGTGCGATTAAAAAGGGAAGGAATTATCTTAAAAATCATGATTACTTGGTATTTATAAAAATTAGACCTTTTATGTCAATCTTCATGTCGTCATATAGGTCAGTAATTTATGACAACACGACAACAAACCTTTATTTGAAATAGTGTTCTTTCAAAACTTATGTATTATTTTTTTTTCTATTTTACTTCTTATTCATGGATCTAATTTTGAGTCATGTATTCGATCGTAAAACTGGTTCAGCAGTGTACTAGGACCAATATTGAAAATTAAAAAAAAAACATTAAAGTTAAATGGTATATCCATCAATATGATTCAAAAACACTTAACCATAACAGAACAATGGCAAAGACAATGATATTTGATTATTATTATTTCCTTCTTTACAACTGTCAATAGTGAAGCAGAAACAGCTGACCCTCTTGGAGCACTCGAGTTCATCCTGATTCTTTTAGTAGGATTCGTGAAGCTTATTAATAAGTTTTATTTCTTTGTGAAGTGGGTAGTAACCTTAGGTTTGTCTCTTCGTCTTTTTTTTGCGATGGCGTTGTTTTTTACTTAGGTGATCTTGTATTCGAAAAAGGGAGAAAAAAAAACTGTGTTATGTCCGCTAATCGTCTAAAACACTCAACTATTTACAGTTAAAAGGACTCCCATACTATATTATCTATTGAAATAATTTAGAATACTTCATTCTTAACTATTATATGAAAATACAAATGTCACTAAAAGCTCTCCAAAAAAATGAAAAAAAAATGAAAATAACACCTTATAATTATATACGTCCGAAGCGCTTTCTGGATTTACCTTCATCAGGTAGTCAAAACCAGATAGTTGAAAGCCAATGATGTATAAGAACCGTATGTATAGAGCTATATGACCAAAAGGGACCTATAAAAAGTAGTTAAATAAGTCAATAGCTTAAAATAATCTGAACATGAAAAGACTAGAGAAACAATAAGTTTAAATATTGAGATGAATTGAAGGCATATACAAATATTTATAATTACTCTAATGGTAACTGTATACCTTTACCTACCCGGAGAAATCCTATTTAGATTGAAACATGGAACAATACCAAAGAAAACTAGATTTGCCATTGCGAGCAATAGCGGATGGCACTCTCATCACCCATTGGCCACTAAACTGCATACATTTTGAAAATTGTAAACAGTCAATGCCGACATATGTGACTAGCCATGAGATTTCCAGGCTTATGGAGGTACATTGTCTAAAATGGGCTTATTTCATATTTATCCAGTACATACTGAGAGAAAACATCCTGCCAAGTTATTAGGACAAATTTGGTGAAACAACAGTGTAATGGGTCTTTTTGTATAAATACATAAGGCGTATTCGATTCAACTTTTTGATCAACGCACGCATTTTTTCTGGAAGACACATTATATATTTCATCGGCGCTGAGTAATTTCTAACGGCCTATTTGAACAAGTTTCAAATGTACTAATAACAGCTTTTTTTTTAGAAAATGTAATTAAAAATTAGTTGTAAAGAAATTAGTTGTATCTAAATCATAGCCTATAGTAGGTGTTTTTCTTTTCTATTAAGGTTTAATTATGCAAGTCTCTACCAAACATAGCATGCGAAGCGTAACGCTTTATATAAGGCTTAGTTTTCAAAATGACGGTGCATGTATTTTAATGCTGCAATATGTTAATGATTCTGTCATTGAAAACTCTATAGAGCAGACAATTTTGGATTGCAAACACTTTGTAAGCTTGTCTATCAATTTATGCAGAGTAAAGTAATTTCAAATTCAAACAAAAACGTAAGACTTCTCCAGTACTTGTGTACTTTCCAGCAAAGCCTATAACCAAAGTAAAGTAGTTTACCTTCTCCACAAATACATCGAAACGATTAAATATCAGAAGAAATTGGAGGAACTCTCTGCAAAACAATCTTTAATTTGTAAGTGTTTGTTAATTTATATATTATTTTTACCAGGCTTCATATGTAATTCACTCAATAAATCATGTACATAATAAAAGTCGTATCAATTCATAAGCATACAAGTAATTTGATCGAAATGTTCCAAATGTAGTTTCATAAGTTCTGCATGTGTAAACACACTTGTTAAATCAAGCAAAGCATCATTTAATCTCTTATAAAATACATTTTGACGTCATTTAGTTGCAGGACCACAGATTCTATAAAAACGGTATGTCTGAACTTCTGTGTTTTCTCTGATAATTTTGCAGAAAACATAAGTAATACTTTGTTCCGTATGCCATTTAAACGCAAATACATGATAACATTAAAGATTTAGTCGAAGAAATTTAGTTCATAAGGGTTCAACTGGGATTTTAGATAATTTATCATATTACTCGAAGCGATCTAATTTCTTTTAACGTTGTTTTAATAGCATAAAATAATCAGTTTTCTATGAATTCTTATAATCAATCAAAGTTGCTACATCTGTTACTCTTGGTGATTCCGTGATCTGGATTCTGATAGCAAATTCTTACTTTTGTGAAATGCGTTCATTTTTTATTACTTACGAAGCTAATTAACATGTTCCTTAATGTTTTCATAAATGTTATTCGCGGTTGTTTAGATAATATTTCATGGATAATAACGACACCAACATATTTGTTTTTGATTCTGATAAAAAGATTAACAGTGTGAAAGGTTAAATATTTCTTGCATGTAATAGCGTGTACTGACAAAGTGACTTGTCTCTTGTGCATTTGCCATCTTACAACTAAGGCCGTGTTCACATTGAGCTAAACTCGGTGTGGTGTAAGTGTACTCGCTCAGTGTACTCGACACTTAAACTAAACTCCATTACGTTCAGATTGATAGAAAATAAAGGTTTACATGTAGTTTAAAACAGGGTTTCACTACATGCACACGTGCACAGGTGTCATTCGGTTTATCGAGAGAAATGATCGTGAAAGAATACCTAACGGTGGTCAAGTATTGCGATTGGATCGTGAAAGCTCTTGTATCTTGTATAGGATCGTGAATTCAATCTTATCGAGAAGACATATGCAAGGTCAATTACTAATCTAATTTGGTTAATCACACAGACAAATTTACAACAAAATAAAACTGTCTGTCAAAATGGTTCAACATTATGATCAGTATGTGAGAAAATCCAGGTTTAAAAGTACATCGTTTGTACAAAACTACAAAAGGCAGATTGCACCTTGACATTTCAATGACATTGAAAATGTAAACAAACATGATTTTTTTCATAATTCGAATGACTAAACTACTTTTCTCCAAAAAAAGGTCATTTCATTATGGTTCTCAAAGTTATTTTGTGTAAGCATAATCAGAAACTTTGTATAAAAAGAAATATTTACACAAAATTGATATTTCGGATCGTGAAAGATCACGTATCGCTTTTTGAAGATCGTGAAAAGGATCGTGAAAGATCTGATGCTACGAAGACGTTCAAATCATTCTTCAATTATATGATAATTTGTATTTGTTATTGGTATAGAAAAAACTAGATTTTTTTTTTGGTGAACAGGGCTATAATCGTGCAATGCCATTTTATCTAATTATCTTATAATACCACACAGACTAGGTGAATTATAGCAATATCAGTCTACTTGTCCGACATTCATAAGTTTTATTTTCTTATACAATTTAAGATTGTTTTATTTTGTATTAATGATTTTCATTTCTCATTTGTATGCCCATTATATTTATAAAGCGAAGATTCTCAATACATTTAAGCATTTTAAAGTATTAATATTTTCAGACCTCGACTGTGCCTTATTTCGTGGATCAAGGTTTAGTTTTGTGGTCAAGTCCGTATCGCGGATTCGTTAATCTATAGGGTAACTGTATTTGATGTAAGTTATGATTGTAAGGTGTACATTTTCGACTAGAAAGGTTTCAACTATCCTTGACCTCATCATGCATCACTGGGCAATGTTTATTTTATGGGGTTTGGTCTTTTGCTTATATATACCTGTATGCTATAGGGCCACTGTATTTGGTGTATGGTGTACATGTCTGTCTGCATGTTTCATATATGACGTTGACCTCATTTTCATGGTTCATTGGTCTTTGTTAAGTTTTCATGGTTTTGTCAGTTTATCAGATACTAAAAGCAATAGTTCAATTGTATTTGATATATTGAATGATAGTAAGATGTCTATGTCTGGCTGTCGGTCAGGGTTCATATTCTTTCGACCTTATGTTCCTAATTCATTTGCCAAACATAAATTTTAGATTTGTCAGTTTCTAAGGTACTGTAAGCATCAGAACCACTATATTTGGTGTACGGGATGTTCGTACCGGTCTGTATGGCATGGTTCATCTTATCTTGACCTCTTTTTATGGATCATTGATAATCTTAAGCGTATGTGATACTTCTAGTAAAACCCTTACTATTACAGACGTTCAACATGTATACTATCATAAGTAAAGCAGACGAGACATTTCAGCATTTGCGCTCTGGTATTCTTTAGTCTGTAATATATATTAATCTCATTGGCAACCATTTCACATCTGCTACGTTGTATATAAAGAGACATAGAACTTAAAAAAGTACTGTAACACAAAAGGTTGCATGGTTATCGTTAAATCTCAAATTGTTAATGAAAGATTATGTTTTCGCTATTAGATATGGTAGATGGTTAACTTTTTGTGTTTAAACGTTGCATACCCATATTATTGGCTAAATCGTGGCGGTAAGTAGAGAGGTCTGCCTGAATTGTACTAGACCGATTCTCAGAGCTTAATTTTTTCACACGCGAACTGAAAACGGTATGATATCGTTAGACATGCCAGTGCAGATTCAGTAAAAGTTGTAACGAATGAGAACAGAACTTAATCGGTTAAATTACAGTTCAAGCTGATCATCCCATTCGAAGTACGTTGAATGAAAATTTCCCCACTAAGTTGGGTACAATGACGTATAGCTATAGTGAAAAGACTGAACAAACAATTAATTAGAAATAACGTTATCCTTGTACCTTTTTTTAGTTTGTGTCGGCACGGCCACGAAATAACAATAAATTTCATACTATGTATGCACGAACGACACTCCACATAACTGAAAGTGACAACCCTTAAACAAATGCATATATTTCCAAGGCGGATGCATTTAAGGATACATAAATACCTTTACTTTTCGACAATTTCCGCTTGTGAAGGTCTTTCTATTTTGGAAATCAACTTATCTAGACACGTTTTTTTTTTTTTTTAACTTTTGAGGTAAAGTGTTGAATTAAAAAAAAAAAATTAAAAATGAAAGCTTTAATTTCGTTCTTATCAAAATAGTTACACGCTTCCATCAGTTGCAAGTATATCAATTGGTAAAAGAAATATTGTTTTCTGATTATTAAGTCTGGTCACGCCTTGTCTTTCACGATCGAAATGAAACGTTGCCTGATCTTTCACGATCAAGTTTGATGAAAAATCAACAAAATTCAGGGTTTTCATAACAAATGAACGGTTTATAAGGAAGAGCATACTTTTATTTTACTGTACTATCGGACACACCAAAGATTAAGTTTCAAATATTTCATGATATATTGGAATGTGACCATAATAGGTACAAAAAGCGTGTTTTTTTAATGAATCCCATAGACATGTATTGCGCCTTTTGTGTTTTCTCATAAAGTATTGCATATTTTCTTTATCTTATTGCACAGTATTGTTGAGAAAGTTGAATCATTTTGACAGACATATTTGTTTTTTCGGATTTGTTCCGCGTTTTGAAAATTCAGCGATTTTTTCACAGATTTTGAAGTAGAATTTACATTTAATTACTTTCACGATCCGATTCCAGATCTTTCACGATCCAATCGCAATTCTTGACCACCGTTAGGTATTCTTTCACGATCATTTCTCTCGATAAACCGAATGACACCCTTGATGCAGTCGATAGTCAATGTAGACCTTGTGCGGATTAAGTGCATGTACACTAAACTAAATATTGTGAAACGGTGAATTTTATTATGAATATTTAAGGAAGTTACATATATTGAATAAAAATTATTATAATAATATTATGAATTAAGTTATTTACCTATTTATATGACAAAATTCAAAAATTGCTCTGTTAAAAACATTGAATTAAAAGCCTTGTGGACCATTTGATTTTAGTGCGAAAGAGGATTGTTTGCTGATAGAATATTCATTTTGCACCGGTTTTTAGCACGGTTTATTTATTTAGCGCGAACATTATTTTCACTTTTTGTACATAACTATTTCTTGCAAAGTTCTGCATTTTGTAAGACAAAATATTTATTTTCATTATGCCTTGGACAAATTATGTTTACAGTTAGTTCCAGTCCAAACTACTCAGTATTCATTTCCAAAATCACCCCATGGTCGCTTTGGTCTTCTTTCGATCGGCCGTAAAACCCTCCCCAAAGTGGGCAGTCCGTTTGGCTATGAGGAATGTACAAGTACTCAGCCACGTCTGGTCAGAATGGGGACATTAAGAACGATGCCTCGGAAGAGTGCGCGCCACGCTCTCTGCACGTTAAGAACCTATGCACCATAGTAGGTGGCCTATTGCAAAGCAACATTTCTGTCCCTATCCGATATACTGTCATTTTCCAATGGCACTGCACAATGCCCCGATGCTCATCTCGGACGGCCTCTATGACAGGACCTACCTATTGTATTTATTGTGAATTTATTATCCATAAAACGCATGAATTATTTGTCACTGGACGTTAATCAACCAACAATCAATCAATCAATCATTTTCAAAATCCCTTTTTCTCTCTATTGTTACACTGTTTGAGCTTGCGTACTCGTGACATTATTAGAACTTTCAAAGTTCTCTATATCAGTAAGGTAACGACCATTCATCTTCGTGGGACAAGCCATTTGTTTTATTACATTAATAAAAGAAACAACCAATTGTGTTCAATAACACACAGGAACATTTTTAAAACTCCATGTTGAAACCCCCGCTCTTCTTCCCTCATGAA